CCCTCTTCTCGCCGAGGCCCGGTGACATCTCTTCTGTCTTGTTTGCAGAGGTTTTCTTCCAGGCCACGATTATGAGTGATCAAATCCAGTTCATTGTTGAGAAGCTCAATGAGGAGCCCTTCAGGAAGAACTACAACTTAATCACGTTTGACTCCTTAGAGTCAACGCAGCTGTTGCAGCTGCTCAATGATGTTCTGGGGGAGATTGACCCGAAGGTAAGGAAGGCAATCAGAGGCGCTCAGACCTGCGTCATTGCCAACATCTTACATGCACTTGACGCATACATTTATTTAGGTCTGGCTCTGTATCATCTTGTTTGGTTTACCAAAGTAGCTTGTATGAATCTTCCTGGAAATAAACGTGCCTGGCAAGAATCTTTTCTGTCTGTGCATCTGTGTGGTTTTGGCAAACCAAGTGTTTCTTGGGCCAGGGGTACTGGATCCCTGTCTCCTAGAGACTGATGTCTCTGTATTTTTCCTTGGATTAGATCCTGGTTCATGCTGACAATCTCTGTGGCTTGCACACATACCCAGGGCAGGAACTGATCAATAGATATTGAATCCCTCTCCTTTGAGGCTGACGAAAGTGTGTGTAACATCAGAAGGGATCGTTCATACATCTGGGGCATAGAGATGTGTGCCTTGATGTGCTTGGGTATCTTGACTTCCTTGGTGGAAGTAATCAGTTTGTCTGCTTAGATGGGGTCCCGTGAATAGAGAAAATGTGTACCTAGGATGAGTTTTCCTGAATACACGTTTCAGAGAAAAATCTGTTAGAAGATAATTGAAGTTTGGTGATAAAAGGAGCATCTCACATCATTGACGTTTCATGTGGTAAATGGATAAAGTCAGTTCTTTCAGGGTTGCTGGTTAGTTAACGTGACTTGCACAAACAATGGATAATTAATTATTTTTTTCTTACCATTTAGCATGCTGTTGACATTAGAGAGGAGCTGCCGGAACAAACAGCTAAAAGAATGCTGAATCTTTTTGGTATCCTTAAGTACAAACCTCCAGGAAGTACAGCAGACTTGTAAGTATCTGTTTGTCTACAAATCACAGTAAAATATCTTTTACAGCTTATATGGTAACAACCTTGCATTCAGTTGTGTGCATTTTTGACCTCGACTATCCCAGTGAGTGTGTGTAACGCCTTGAAGACAGCTCCTCCCTTGTCCCTATAGGGTATGGTATAGGGGGGGATGCCCACAGAGGCTCCCGCAGGTGCAGGCTCCCCTCGGGCCCCTGCAGCCACTGCTATTGCGGAGTCAGCCAGGAGAGGGTGCCGCACGACTGGCAGGGTCAGTCCCTTCCCCAGCCCTTCCGGACCCGCTACCCGAGGCTGGATTGCACCCTCCTGTGCCAGCTCGTAGCCTAGAAAACCCACACTCATCCCACATTGCCTTTATTCCCGAAGAATATTGCAGAAAAGGAAGCCTGTGGTGTGTTCTGGGGTTTTTATCCATCTCGAGGTAGCGGAATAGGGATCATAAATAGTAAACTGGCATTGTGAGTGGTTTCTCTCACAGCATTAAGAAAATCATTAGGCAAGTGGAGAGGGAATGTCAAAATATTGCAAATTGTTTGCTCCAAGCCAATGTTCTTTAGTTTGAGATTTATTGGTATTTTCTTTTTGTTGTTTTCGTGTAGGAGTGCATTCCGCCAAGGGTTAGTTACTGGAAGCAAACCTGTAATTCATCCCCTCTTACATTGGCTTCTTCAGAGGACCAATGAACTCAAGAAAAGAGCTTACCTGGCACGTTTCTTAGTGAAATTGTCAGTGCCAGCAGAGTTTCTACAGGATGATACTGTGGCTGACACCAACAAACAGGTACCATTTTTAATGAGTGCCAACATTTTAGCTTAATGAATTAAACGGCCAGTAGGAGTACGGATAAATGAAGCAGGGAGTTACTGCTGAGATATGTGTTCAAGTGAGTTATGTTCAGAGCATGTTGGAATCAAGGGTGACCGAAGATTCATAATAAGAATTATATGTCTTGACTACCTTTCTTCCAATAACTCTGGAATTGTATATTAATAGGTAGCATTGAATTACAAGGTTTTAAGCCCATTAAGTACTGGGTACTAAATAATGTTCAGAACCATGTTGGCCAAGACAGATTTTTATTTCTTAATTTTTAAACACTTTTTTTTTTCCTTATGAACTACAATGTGGATTTTTTTTTTTTTTAACTTTAAAAATCGCTACTTCAAGCTAGTCCAGAAAATGTTATGACCAAAAGCCAATGTCCCCTAATTGTCAACTGGCTGTATAGTATTTAGCTCCTAATATTTATATTAGCCTTATCCCACTTCTGCTTCAACCATTTATTTTTTTGTGAATAAGTGAGAAATTTCTTTTTCCTGGGCTGACATTCCTACTCATTATGTTCCCACTTCTTTTGTGAACATTAAATGTTGATTTTAGATAGAGTGGGTGGGCTTGAAATGTAAAGCTTAAAGTGAACCAAAGTTATGTTTTTAGATCTGTATTATCTGAGGTACATATTTACCTATTTTCTTCCAGTTTTCTGTGGTTTTTGTTATGCATAGTGACTTGCAAAATCAGTGTTTTCAAATGTTTGTAACAGGTAACTCGATTTATTAACTGTGCACCAGCAACGCTGCGTAGTCTGACTGAAGCTTGACTAAGCCTTTTATTTTTCTGTTACCACTAACAATATTGGCTTTAGAACTTGGAATAACTAAGCAGAAGTAGCAAAGAGAGAAAGGAATGCAGACTGTATGTTTTTTCAGTATGTCACAGTCTTAATATGTATAAATATCCAACTCCATTATTTCCATTACGTAAGACATGTTCCTTTTTGGGATTACAGTAATATAACCGTCTTATTAGACTAATACTCTGCTGACTAATTCAAAACAGAAGCTGGGGCAATATAGTGCCTTAATGTAATTTAACATTACCATGCAAATATTTAGGTACTAATGAATTAAGTCTAAAGTATTTAGGTAGACAGGCTTGCAATAGTGGCTTTTAAGGAAAACCTTTCCAACATGAGAGTTTGGAAATCTTAGAACATGGTCAAGTTTTATGGGTGTAGAGTCAAGCTCAAATGTACTTTCAGAATTATTTTAGAAAGGTACTCAGAGTACTCGTCACCTTCCCAGCTGTGTTGTGATTTGGACATCAGATTGGCTGCAGTATATCATTTATCAAGTAAGCAACTTCAGGAATAAATCTAGTTGTCCAGTCCTCAGTGAGTTGCCCTCAGGTGCCAGGAATCTTTCTTTCCCCCATAGGAACCTGGGTCTTCTTTGGTCCTTTGTGTGTGTCAGTTATTTAGTGACCGCAGCTGCAGCTCTTACTGGCTGAAAGTGAGAAACCTTTCCTTCGTTATGATCTGGCAAACTGTGCTCTGCCCTTGTTTGAATATTATGATTAGTCTTGAAATTTGGTGTCCCCTGAAGGAAAAGACTTACCAAGCTTGCCTTTGGAAAGAGGCAGAGAATCCCCACAAAGGAAGGCTGTTGGGCACCAGCGGCTGTGTTGTTGCTCAGAGAGTACCTGCTATTTCTTTATTTGTTCAAATACTTAAGTTCTGTAATGCATCAGTGATATAATGCAGGCCACTTGTGTTTTTACTCCTACTGTTTTGTAACTCGTTCTGCATTGTCCAGCACGTGCATACCTTATCACACCTTTGTTTGCCATTTAATCAAGCTCTTTCTCTATTATTTTATCTTCTCAGTAGCCATTTTATTGCTATTTTTTTGAATTCATTCCAGCTTGTCAGTGTGTGCCTGATATTGAAACAACCAGAAGTGAACAGAGCATTCTAGATGCTGTTCCCCAGGGTTTTATAGAATAGAATTGCTGCTTCGCTGCTCAGGGAAGTGATGCCTTTGTTTGAACTGGCCTTTGCTGTTGCCATTTTATGTTCAACATTCATATCAATTGCTCTTTCCAGGAAGTAAAAAAATGACTTGACATTCTCTTTTTAGATTTTTTCCATCTTACTGAATGGCTGTTTCTGTGGAGATTATCTTCCCTTGATCTCAGCTTGCATTTCTCCAAGCTGAATCTAAATTTATTTCCTATCCATATTTCTAAACTCTTTCGGTCCCCTGTTATTTCTCTACCCACACAGACTTTCACACTGCCTCTCAGTTTAACATTACTGGTGGGCAATGTACTGGTGTGGAAGTAGCACACTGTCTACTTCTTTCTAACTACCGAACTACATCCATCAATCTCTGGAAAATACTGAGGGCATGATTATGCAATGTGTCAAAACTATTTCTCACATGTTAAGTCAGGAGTGCTCTTGGACCACTTTGCTGGATTGAAGCTCAGTGCTCTATAAATTCAAGCCCCATTGATGAAGATTGTTGTTAGACCAAGCTCTTCCTTTTTGGGCTGCTAAATTTCTGTATGTGATATATACAGATTTATAGTAAGAGAGAATAATTTGTTAATATAGCATTGTCCCTTTCAGGTAACATCTTATCTTCCTGTTTTGAAAATACACTATGTATGACAGGGTGGTGAAAATACTGAAAAAATGTGCAACTTTTGAGAGTAGTTTCAAATGGAAGATAATTCACTGTGATTTTTCATTTTTGTTTTATAAGTTGATGGGCTTTTGTGATGAAAAAATGCCTTTAATTCTTGTTCTCACCGTATTTCTATTTCTATATTTACTGTCTTAGTAGAAAAGGAACATGTTGGTCTGAAAATCCTTAGACACCGAGCTCATTCTGCATGGTTTTTATTTAATTTTATAGTATGAAGAACTGATGGAATTGTTTAAAAACCTACATAAGGAGTGCGAGCACCTCAAAACATCTGGTTTATCTACTGCAGAAATAAGAAGGGTAAAAATCTGTCAAAATCATACAACTTTTGTTTAGATTTGTTTTGAATGTTGCTTCTGTTTGTTGGTTTTGTGGATTCATTGCAGTGGATAAGTAGTAGAGGTCAGAGCTGGTAGGCACTGCAGCTGCCTTTCTGAAACTGTTGGCAAACAGATTCGGAAGTCCTCGCTCACGCTTAGAACTGAGTTTTCTGAAGCAGATTGGGAAGCAAGGCTGCCAAGGCTCAGCTCAGCATGGTTTTCAAATATTAGAACTCCCTTTCCTCTGAAGGCAAACTGATACAAAGCCTTTGGCTTTACTGATAGAGGGTAATAATTTCAGAGGGTGTTGAATGAATTAAGAGCTTAAGTCAACAAAAATGATGGCCTTGTGTGGCTAAGGTGTTAAGTAAAGATATTTGCCCTGTTTCAGCAAAATATTTAAGCGTGTGTACAGCTTTCCAGTACGATGTATAGACAAGTTAAGCAAATGTTGAGATAAGGTCTAAATTTGGAGAATTTATTTCCCTTTCTCTTGTCATTAACAATCTGTGGAGTCCTGCTGTTGTGAAATAGGACTAAGGAGAATAATCATTGGATATGTGTTTTAGCACTAGAAAGTGTTTCTTTTAACACAATTTTAACACAAAAAGGGGCAGCAAACATCACTCGTGCATAACTTCATGCAAAATTGTCTGCCAGGAAGTGGGTAATGATGGTAACATTAAGAACATATGTTAGACTGCATCAGATGTTGAATTCATGCTGATTTTTGCTTGGTTGTTTCTGATAGTTTTTATTGTAGAGAAATACACCTGCTTTTATTTTAAATGTTCACAGTAATATGCAAGGATGCAGATGAGGGAATGTTAGCAGAGAGCGAGTGGGAACTGTGGGGGAAGTAAGAGAGAAGGGAGAGATTGGAATCCTGGGTGTTCTGAGCATAGATCAATAACATTATAACCACTTCAGTGTATTCAGAGAAGAATTCAGATTTATTAATTCTGATTTATTAATTTGAACGGAAGTTAGCCCAATCTATATTATACCATAAATAAATTAACGTTTATTCATCTCTTTTTTTTCTGCTTTTTAGGACATCAGTGCAATGGAAGAGGAGAAAGATCAACTCGTCAAAAGAGTAGAGCGTTTTAAGAAGAGGGTAATAAGAGAAGTAACGCTGTTACACTTCAGTGTCATAATCCTTGGCTTGCAACTCCGATTTTGGAATGCAAACAAGGATTAAGATAAACATACTGTATGTCTAGGAAGGAGTCGAATAACTAATTGACCCACAGGGAATCTCCCTAGGCGTTAGTCCAGAGCTTTTAAGAATCTGAGTCCAGTACTTTGCTGTCATTTCTGAGTAGTAACATGTATGGAAAGGAAGCGCTAACTGGGCTTGTGAGACATATGATCTCTTTAATGTATTTCTCAACTATCTGACAGTAACATGCACCATTTATCCACTTGCTGTAGGTGGAGACAGTACAAAATCATCAACGAATGCTTGAAATAGCAAGACAGCTTCGCTTAGAAAAAGAGAGAGAAGAATCTTTGGCTCAACAGAAACAAGAACAAAAAACTCAGGTACTGACATAAAAGCATACCTGTTAAAATAAATAGTTGTTGACATTTGTGAATCATGCATTTACAAAGGTACATGGAGAACAGTACAGAGTTTCTCCCAACCTCAGAAAATAAAATCTCATTTAAAATAGGAATATCTATGTACGTTTTGAGGGAAGAGGCTTGACCCTGCACATTTTGAACACCTCATTCAAGGTACTTGGCTGCCACAGCTGCCACTGACATAATGATTTAGCAGTCCCAGGAAATGCTCTATGATTTACTATTGTAGCACCCAAAGAGAATTCTTTATATTTATGGTAGTGAGCAAATGTTTCCTGAGTTTGATTTGTATCTCTGCATGTGCACTAAGATTTCAGGGGCTGAGTAACGCAGCACGTACCTCAGCTTTTCACTGGGAGGGGGAATATGTATTCAGGAGCAGCCTTGGGATTTTGGTTCCCAAGTTTGACAAAGATGATGTCCCAGGAAGCACTGGAAGAAATTGACGTCTGAATGTAAGGGTGGGTTTTATTCCTGAGCTATGTTGTCAAAAGAAGATACTTTAATAAAATCCAGTGCGATATTGTTATCTCACCAAATTCCGTAACATGAACTTCAACACTGTATTAAAATGGGAAAAAACCCCCAGACTTCCAGTATTGCAGTGTGTATCTGTGCGTGGAATCAATGTGAATCCGTAGATTTTCAAGCTGTTGGGTCTTTGCTTGAACCTGAGTGAGATCACAAGTAAAATTAATGTGATGTCCAGCTAATTCTCGTTCTTAGTACACATCTCTAAATCAGAAAAACGCTAATCAACTGGGTTTTGTTTGGCAACAAGCTTTCCAGTGTGCTCTCAGGTTGGACAGTGGATTGCTGGGACAGCTCAGCTGCGTTGAGGAACTCCAGCGTAAGGATAGTTATCTGCTGCAATCCTGAGTCTTGCTGTCTTTTTTTGTTGTTCTGATGTTCAAGCCATTCATATTTTAGGTTGAAAATAGTTTAATGAATTTCTGCCCTAGAGAAGATATCACTTAGGAGTACAAGAGTACTTTCCTGAATTAACACTTAATTAACACTAGAAAATATCAAATAAACCCAGGCCAATTGTTGAAAATTTGTTTCAGCATGTTCCCTTGTGAAACAGATAATCATTTGGATTCTTTTTGATACTTTTGGTTTAGATGTTTGAATGTGCATGTCAAAGGAATGAGCTTATGTGTGTCCATTTCTCTCTCAAAAGTTGTTCCATGCAGAGCAGAGACTGCAAAGAGCACACCTCCAGCTGAAAGAGATGCAGCATGCGGTGGTGGATTCAAAACCTGAAAGTAAGTAGTGATCTATAAAGGGTGGGGGCTTATGCCTCTCTTTTAGAAGTGAAATAAAAATTGGATGTCTGTCAGTAATGTGGTAGTGCCAAAAGCATATAGGAGCTTAAGAGAGCCTAAAGAAAGAAACAACTTGTGTTCTAAAGGCGCAGGCTGGAGATCCTAAGCCTGAATGTGCCCTGCCACAATAAAACAGGGAGACAGTCACAAGGGAAGATGATATCAATCATATTTTTGAGGTCCACTTTTTAAAAAAATGTTAAACGAGTTAAATACTGAATACTGCCATAATACTCTGCAAGAAAAAAAAACCACAAAACCAAACAAAAACCAACTGGAACTACAAAGGGTTGGAAAAAGCAGGAACCTCTTAGGAAAGACGAACTTCTGATTTAGTAAGGTTGGATGTCTTTTGTGTTTGTAATTGACCATTGGTGACATACTGCTTCTTAAAAATGTTCTCTACAAATGTACAAATACATTGAATACTACGTTTTATTCAGCGTAGACTTGTTTTTCTAGTTACCTTCTATAAAATGTTTGCAAAGCTCTAAGGCCTGTTTCTTATTGTAGTGCGATTTTGTGTTGTACTTCTCTAAGGTACCAAAAATAAAGCTACTTCCTAATTCATCTTTTTTTATAGATCATAGATTTTTTATATATATATATATATACACACACTTGTGTATGATTATAAGCAGATATACTGGATATATCTAGATATTAAAGCCTATATATTTATATATGAATATATTTGTTTACACATGAAAATACTTTGTTCTTGTTATATGACTGCAGCTGTCTGAGTTGGATGTTGCTGTATGACATTAATAACAGTAAGATTGCTTCTCATTTTCAGTGATATCTCAGTCTGCAAATAACCTCAGCAAAATAAATTCTGTACTACTTGTGGAGTAAGTTAGTAATCCATGATCATTTATAAAAATTGCAGATGGGAAGGAATTGCAGTTGCTAGATAAATGCGTAACTAACTGTCTCCAAAGGCTACAATTTGACAGCCTCCAGGTTTCTGATGATTGAATCACTTTGAAGGAAGTGTAACAAGGATTAGCCTGGCAGTTTGACAGCAAAACTGGGAGTCAGTTTAGGCTTCAGCATTTCAGACGTATGTGATCTTTGGCAAATTCCAGTTTGTCTCTAGCACTTCGTTGTTGTTAACACATCACAGGACTGGCGGAGGTTTTATGTGCTGTTCGTGCAGGCAGTGGGGTTGATTTATAGGGAAATACCTCACTGTCTGTCAATAGTGTGAAGGGGTAAGGCTCCTCATGGTCCTTTTCACAGGGGGGCTTTTCCAGTTGCCTTCTAAGTTGCTGTGGTTTAAAAAAAGCATAGAATTATTTTTGTTAAATGTATAAATTACTCCCAAAATGGTAGAATCTGATTATTTATTGATTTAAACTTAGCAAAGTAAGTCATTGTCCTGCTCTTTCAAGTACATTTCATATTCCAGTTGCATCACAACTGCTTTGGCAGCTGGTTTGGGTTAGAGAATTTTTTTTCAGTCACCACCACCTTGCGTTGTTATTATTTTGTAATTTTACTTTTGTTTTTTTACAATGCTCATCAGTCACTGAACCACAGAGGGAACTAAAAGAGTATCTGAACAATCTTCTTTACTCAGAGGGACCTGCAGTGGATTTTATAACTGTTCCATTTTTGCAGTAGCTATCAGAGAGTTTATACAGCAAAGCTGTGTCAACATTTCTATTTCAGTTCCTGGGTTTTTTTAAGGCCAATGGAAACTTGATGGGTTCAGTTCACAGAAGCAAAAGTAACATAATAAAAAGCCAGTAAATATGTCATTTAATCATTGAGATGAAAATAAAGATAAAGTTAACATATTTAATTTCCTTATCTTGAGTCCTGCTTGCAGGAGAAAGTGTTTAGATGTTCCGAAGAAAAACTTGGAGTCATTACTTAAGAAAACTTGTGTTGAAATTTTGCCCAAACAAAGACTTAAGGACTTAGCTTTGTGCCGGCTTTCCTCCACAGAAGTTACAAAGACACTGCCTGCAGTAGCAATTACAGAATGCCAAGTGTGTTTTTTAAGTAATTGAAATTAGGTGACCACAGTGTACTGACTAGGATTCCATTTATTTTAAAAGCTTTGTTGGTCTACAGTTAGCACCATTTATTTTATTTTAAAAATCCTCTTTGGCTGCAGTTTGGTGCCTCAGCTGCCTACTCGTATCAGAATAGCTTGTGTGCTGACAATTCAGCGGCTGGTTGGTAGGTGTGGATTTTCACTGGAAGTTACTTTCCTTTAAAATTTTCTTCCATTTTTAATACTTCAAGTGTTTTTACTTCCAAAGCAAGATAAAATGATAAAAGTTGTTGTTAATGAGTGGAAGCTTTTTTGTTTGTCTCTTAAGGATGCATCCTGCTTTGATTAATCCATCTCATAATTAATTTAGGATGAGCTACTATAAAGAAATGTAAAGGAACTCTTTAAGGAATGCAACTAGCACGTATTCATGAGTATCATTGATGTGCGATTACCATCAGTCTGCTTTAGCTGTGCCACGAAAATACAGCTTATGGTTAGTAGGTTTTTAAATGTTAGAAATTAATGAATTTAGAAGACTTTGTATTGTATAATGAAAAATAGTTGATGGTTATGAGATGCTTTGTGGACTAAAATTAATCATAGTGGTTTCCACAGTACTGTCTTTCCCTGTTTAGGAACTTCAGTACTGCTCACTATGTTGTTGGACTATAGAGAGGCAGTTGCTGCTGGTAGCACCAAGTAACATGAATTTGCAGTTTCCAGGGTTATTTTTTTGTTGTTGTCGTTATTGTTCTGGATATGGGTAGTATTTTTATTAACACTGACCACTGGTTTGAATAACCTAGCTCATGCTTTCTCAGCAAGATTGCCGTCTTTTTGCTTTGAATATCTCCGCTGGCACAAAAAGAAATTGTTAATGCCAAGAAGCGAACTGAATTACTGAAATTCTTGATCTCTGTCCATTTTACAAAACATCATTGTTCACTTTATTGGCAGAAATACGAAGAAGTGGATGACTAGCTTGAAAATATTGATTAAAAGAATGTGTTAAGATGATTGTTGTTGATAAACAGTGAAATGTGTAATTTATATACTTCATTAGTTAATATGTAGGAATAGTTTTAGGGCACTGAGAACTTCAAAGATACCTGTCAAGGAGGAATTGCTTTGTACAGATATCTAGTATGTTATTCTGAACACTTGATAAAAAATAGAAATTTAGGATGCTGTTATTCACATATTCCATTTGAATGAAGACTTTAACATTTTTATTTTCCACAGAACTATCTTT